TACCCTGGGTGTTGAACCCACGACCTCTTGTTCAGGAAGTGGACTCTCAAACCAACAGAGCTGGGGGAGATCCCGTGTGTATTATACACACAAATAATAGTTTATGTGATCGTATGTGTAGTACACATGAAACTAGGCAGAATATACGCATCCAAAAAAGTTTTTGGACTATATGACTATGAATGATAGAAAATATACGATGGCATACATGAAACCCTTCTAATTATTATACATGCATAACATGATACCTTTCAACCAAGAAAACATGATTGGACCGACCTATAATCATCGTATATATCGAACAATAACAATGAACCAAATAAAGTAAATCATATTTTTATTTTCGATTTGGAGTGAACATGCGGTGTTACCCTAATTTTGTATCTTTGAACAAGTAAAAACTAGCCCAACATCTGATAAATTTTATACCAAATTAAAGGAGAAAACCCATGAAAAATAATAATTTCCTACGGTTTTATTTTAATACAAGTGTGGGCTTTCTCATAAGCCCATATTGCCCAAATCTTTATTTAAGGCCTTTTCAAATAAACGGATCATCGGCCCAAATATTCTGACATTTCTTTCTTGTTCAAGGGTCCGTCTTCTTCAAGTCTCTTGTTTCTCTCGCTCTGGACTCTGAATTTCGAAGACTGAGGTTCCTCTCCTCTCGCTCTCTTGGATTATCCTTCTCTGAGGTGAATTCCGGTGGTTTGCGATGGTGAGTCTATGAATTCTCAGATCTGAGGAACGTTTGCCTTGTTCGAATTTGCGTGTCATTCTTTCTCTGACACTTGCGATTTTCAGGAGGACAGAGTGAAACTGGAGGCTGCCATAGATCAGCTCCTGAACGAGGAGAAGCAGATGAGGCTCGCCGGAGATGTCTCTGGGACGAGGAAGGCCGTTACTGACATTCTTCAGCTTTGTTTCGAAGCTAAGGACTGGAAACTCCTGAATGAACAGATTGTCAATCTGTCCAAGAAGCGTGGCCAGCTTAAGCAGGTACTTCGATTTTGTTCGCAGATTATCTAAGATCTTTCTAGTTGGTGGGTTAAATTTGTGGGACTCCAAATGTCATGTTGGATTCGCCTGCTCGTTGATGGTTTGGTGGTTTTAGCCTGTTTTTCTGCCACGAATTTCCATTGCATGTTTCCTCTACCAGTAATTTCTGAATTGCATAGGCTTGTTCTCTTAAAATCCCTGATTTTATTATGAAATTGAACTCATAATCATCAACTCAAGGAACTTGAAACTCTTGATGTTGGCCGCTTTCGTTTGATGGGTTGGTTGTGTGGTCTCTGTTATTATAATTTTGATTGATCCTTGCAAATCCGAAGCTTTAAATTTGCCGTCTGGCTACATTTTATTGCTAAATCGGGTCACTGCAGATAGGTGATGATTTTATGTAATGAAGTTTCTATAATAGATGCACTTTTGTGTTCAGTGTTTCTTTGGTTTTAGTTGGATGTACCTCATGTTCTGCTACCTATCTTCATAGGAACTATATCAAATTGTGAATCTATGAAGTTGAATCTCAAACAATACGAAATTGTAAAAGCTTAACTCCGTTCCGTTCCTCAAAGATCTTTTTCTTTCTGCTGAATTCTCTTGCTCAACCCACCCACATGCATTTTAATCCTTCAGCTAATAAAAATGAGAAAATATGCCCTCTGATATATCCATACGGTGGAACATCTTGGAAGTATCTAATTTCCCGATATGGGTTTCTGTTGTGTGTCTTTCATGGACTTGTTCCTGTAACTGTAGGCTGCGCAATCTATGGTCCAGCAAGCAATGCAGTACATTGATCAGACACCAGATATTGACACACGGATAGAGCTTATTAAGACACTAAACAATGTGTCTGCTGGAAAGGTTCAGAGTCAAAAGAGCTGATGTTTATCTCTCGTTCTTACTTTCGCATCCTACTGACATATCTCTCATCGGTGTTTTGCATGTTTAGATATATGTCGAAATTGAGAGGGCTCGTTTGATCAAGAAGCTTGCTAAGATTAAAGAAGAGCAGGGGCTTGTAGCTGAAGCTGCAGATCTTATGCAAGAAGTCGCTGTACGATTTTTTGCTTTGGGTTGCATATATATAGGCTACTTCTTTTCTTCCTTGCTAATCCTTTGTAATGTAATTTATGACAAAAGGTGGAGACATTTGGTGCTATGGCAAAAACTGAGAAGATCGCATTTATTCTTGAACAAGTATGCATTATTGTTAATCTTGTGTTATGTTTATTGACTTCACATATTTACTTATTTATGGTGCTAGTTATCTGAACCATTCATTTGTTGGTTTTAAACTCCAAAGGTTCGTTTGTGCTTAGATCGACAAGATTATGTCCGTGCTCAAATCTTGTCTAGGAAGATCAATCCAAGAGTTTTTGATGCCAATACATTGAAAGAGAAGAAGCAACCTAAGGAAGGTGAAAGCATAGTAGAAGAGGCTCCAGCTGATATACCATCCTTGTTGGAGCTGAAACGAATTTATTATGAGCTAATGATTCGGTAATCACTATGTTTCCTTATCTAATATACCGTTTTGGATTTTGTTTTCCGTCAATTATCTGGAACACTTGTCTGCATATGTGAAGCGTTTGCTCTTGAACACAATTAAGTGTAGATACTTGTTCTTTTAATGTCTGGTTTCTCACTGAAATTGTTGCATTTATATTTGCTCTAAATTTGATTTCTTGTCTTGTATGTCCTGGCTGCTTTATATTTATAGATAAATCGTTACAGTTGGATCTTAGATTCTGATTTAATTTCTGTAGGTACTACTCTCACAACAACGACTACCTTGAAATATGTCGTTGCTACAAGTCAATATATGATATCCCTTCTGTCAAGGAAAACCCGGCACAATGGATTCCAGTAAGACAGCATTGATCGGGTCATCCACTGTCTACATGTACATTGTATAGTACATCTGGATTAACTTGTGCCCAATCC